CTCCGCACAGTTCAAGGCGAGGAATCGTGATACGTTTCAGGGGTGCCACACGTGACTTGGCTATTAATAAGTTGACATATATACTGCCTTGCGGGTTCTCAGTTCGTAGATAAACACATCCAGCAAAACCGAGTTCACTTGCATCTGAAAATCCATGCAACTGAATATTAACCGCATCACTCAGAGATATGTACCTGCCAATCTCCAAATTTTCAATCTCAGGAAGTTCGTTGACAAAAGTTGACCATCTGTCGATAATATCACTAGGAAGAGTATTATCCCAATCTAGGCCTAGTGACCATATATGCTGCATGAGAGCCTTAGCCCAAAAAATAACAGGGGTAAGCATGCCTGTTACATCATAAATCTTAGCGATGGAAGACAAAATTGCTCTTTTGGTAAAAATCAATGGAGCTTCAGAAATTGCATATGAGAATGTGTCTGAGTGTGGATTCCACTTCAGTCCAAGAATACTAACACAAGGTGAGTCAGTTGATAAGCAGTGTTGAGGGGGTAAATTTTCCAATATTTGGCTATTGTTAGACGCCCATTTGCGAAGTTCAAAGCCTCCTTTTCGTAAAAGGTTTATTACATCTTGCTGTAATTTTGCAGCTTCTTCAACAGTATCGCTGCCTAGTAGCGCATCGTCTACGTAAATTTGTCGTTTAAGTGCATGAGCAGCAAGTTCATGATTCTTTCCTTCATCATGAATTAATTGTTGTATTACTCGATTAGCCAAAAATGGCGAAGAAGTCATACCATAAGTAACGGTTGTCAACTGAAAAACTCGAAGCGGCTGTGACATTTCTTCTCTCCAATAGATGAGTTGAAAACGTTGGTCTTGTTCATGAATAGAGATCATACGGAACATCTGTTTGATATCACAAGCAAAGGCGATCCTATTTTGACGAAAACGTAGAATTATGTCTGTTATTTAATTATGTAACTTGGGTCCTTGATGCTGTAGACTGTTAAGTGTTACACCAGTTGAAGTTTGAGAGGACGCATTAAATACAACACGTATCTTTCCATCCTTAAAGACACCGTGGTGTGGTAAGAAGCAATGATATTGGTTATTTAGATCAAATAAGTTTGAGGGTTTCATTTGACCAGAGGATTCGTAGTCATTCATAAATTCAATGTACTTTTCTTTGAAATCAGGTTGCGATTGAAACTTACGTTCAAGCGATTTGAAGTTTGTAAAGCAACTGTAGAAGAATTTCCTAGTTTTACTGGATTTTCTTTGAACGGTAAACAACAAACATATCTTCCCGTCTCGTCACGAGAGTGAGTTTTCAAAAAATGATCTTCACATTCCATTTCCTCTGGGGATAGCTTAGAACAAGCAGGTGGTTCTTCCAATGCCCAAAATCGCTGAAGTGTTTCATGAAGTGTAAGATCATTGATGGAAAGTAAAGTCGTCAATCCACTGAAGGTTTGGCCGTCTTGTGAAGTAGGCACGTTCCCAAGGACAACATATCCAAAAATAGTGTTTATAGTGTATGGCATACGATCACCAAGACTGGTGGCAGATCCAATAATAGTTTGAGCAAACAGATCCGCACCGATGAGCAAATGTCCAGGAGTGTCGAAGTTGGGATCGGCAAGTGCGTATTCTTTGATTTGAGCCTTTATTTCAGAAGATATCTTGACACTAGGCATATCATTGGTAATTCTATCAAGTATGAGGACAGGATGTGCCGTAGCAAGTGTTTTCCCGTTAAGCGAAGAAATATTTACAAAGGAAAGTCCCTTAGGCTTTATTCGAGCTGAGGCAATGCCCTTTATCTCGTGAACGCCAACAGACGAACGCTGAATGTGAATCATACTGGCACAGTGTTCAGATATTATACTCGTTTGTGATGCACTATCAAGCACAGCTCGGACAATAATATTATGACCATTCGAGGTAGAAATTTTTACCAATGCAGTGGCAAGAAGTACAGTACAGTTGTGGCTGGCAGCACCAGTGTCTACATGAGTGTATTTGATTCAAATCCTTGCGGTACAGGAGCCTTCAATTGTGTTGTGGAATTGGCCTGAGTCTTATTCGAGGGCTTAACAGATTTTTTCATTATAGGCTGGTCCGTTTTGTAAAAATGCAGTAGCGTATGGTGTCGCTTAAAACAAACTCAACACGAACTGGATGACTTACATGAGCCTAAGAAATGTCGTCCTAAACAATTAACACATAGGCTATTGTTCTTAATGAAGTTGAACCTATCGTGTGGTGATAAGGCACCAAAAACATCACAGCGAAAAATGTTATGCGATGCTCCATTGCAGTAAGCACAAGTATGAGCTTGTTCATTGTCATTAGAAGAAAGCATTACAACTTTGCTTGGCTTGGGACTAGCGGTTTGCCTACCTAGATAAGGCATGTTCTTACTACTTCCATAGTTTTTTAACTGAAGGGAAGAATTAGCATGTGAGGTCGAGCCTAAGTTAGCCGCCTCTCTGTAAGAACACTCATTTTCCAGAAAGTTTATTATTTCTGTGACAGAAGGAACCTGTTTTGAGTCATCTCGTTTTTGTTCAAAATCTGAACGCATAGCGGAATCAAGCTTTCTCAAAATATGTGTACTTAAGATCAGGTTGTCATCAGTTATGTTATGGCCAAGTGCTTTAAGAGCTTGCTGATTTCCATTAAAAATTGAAATAAAATTCCTAAGTTGTGTAACATTAGGCTTAGTAAGCTGCGGTAGGTCCAAGATGTTAGTAGAATGTAATGAAATCAAGAGCCTTGTATTGTGGTACCTCTTAAGCAGGGTTTGCCAAGCAATTACATAATTAGCACTATTTAGTGGTATAGACTTAACTAAGTTCAAAGGTTCATCTGAAAGACAGCTTATGAGATATGAGAATTTCTCAACATTAGAAATTGTTTTATTATTATGTACAGTACTTTCAAACAGGCCATGAAATGAGACCCATTGCTCAGGATTGCCAGAGAATGTTGGCAGTTTGATTTGCGGCAATTTCACAGTCAGATTAACTGTAGGAGTAGTAGGGCCTACCTCGGAAGTAGAGTCATTTAGGCGTGACTCTTCAAGTTTAACTGGTGGAAGTAACAAACTACAGTTTGACTGAATCTCAACAAAATAATCAGAAATTTTTTCTTGCAGTGAAGTAATTTTATCATCTTGAATATCTTCAGGAGTGGGAGTAGTTTGAAAAAGTTTATTTACTATTCTCTCAAATTCTGAGTGCTTGGTTATTGCACTTTGAGACAAGAGTTTAAGTTTAGCAATCTGTTGCTCGCTTAAAGTAGTCACAACCTGAGTTTCTTTCAATGCATTGACTTGTTTATTTATTGACTCAAGCCTAGCTTGAATAAGTTCACTCTGTTTGGTGAAGGAAGAAAACCTCATGTTGAAAGAAAATTAAACATAGGAAATATTCAGCACAAAACAAATCTGCAGTAATAACAAATCCCCCACCCAATTATTGTTTTGGGAAAATCTGTTTCTTTATCAAATGAAATGGAAAGGTCACGTCATCGCTTGCGCTAACATTCGTCTGCTCCGTTTTACATCTTTTGTCTGCTGTCGCTGGGCGCGCTATGTTGCAACTGAGAACTGAACTGATTTCATTTACTGAGTACTGATGACAACGTAATGTTTAGTAAGCTGTGATTGGGCGATATGGGATAACTATGGTGAATTGTAAAATTTTTGGATGAAGAGAAACCTAAGAACGAATATAAAAACAAACCCAAAGAGAAAGAATAGCAACATCGTTATCTTAACATTCCATTTACGACTGTTTTTATTATCCTTAATTTGGCTATGATTTACACTTTTATAATGACTTATCTAATAATTTATTGTTTTCAATACGGTTTCAACTAGCAACACCAATGCTATAGTTAATGATTATTATTGACATTCCTCTGTTGTGATAAATCAGTACTGTACTGTAAGTAGCCTACCGGCCTATCGCGAGCAGTAGCTTACAAAACTTTCTACTGTTTTGTTTTGTTCTTTACATGGTTTATGACTACGCAATACAGTTTTTGTCTAGGTTTTAGGAGGGTTAGAACAAGCTGTGATTTTAAACTTAGGCTACAATTTTTAACCTGTTTTCTGTGCCTGTACTAAGGTCAATGCCATTGTCATGATTGCGCAATATTCAAGATCCCTCCCCTTTATTATGCCATGGCGGATAATTTAGGTTCTACTGTACAATGTAAACACTGTACTGTAAAGTATTGTAGCCTATGCTACTTTAATTGTATTTTAATGAGGTCAAATCCCGACCTATATATTGACCGACGCTGGTTCAGAACCTCGACTTAGCGAAATTCCTGCAAACCTAACCTCTATATAACGAACCTCGTTTTAACAAAATCCTTGATATAACGAATATTCAGTTCGGTCCCTTCAGATTCGTTATACTGAGGTTGGACTGTATTAAGATTACAGTTGTCAGGATAAAAATGAATTCATGTCATAAGGACAAAGTGCAATCAGTTTTTCTGAAAGTTGCTTTTTAAAATTATAAGGCTCAAAGACTGGTCTGTGAAATAAAAAGACAATTTGTTGTAGACTTGTATGCATTGATAATAGGGTCCATTGTGAAACAAAGCTAATCTGCGGCTTGGAATTTCAAAAAGTTGTTCGTGTCTAGTTTCATAACTATGAGTTTTTTTACAGTTTTCAAATAAATAAAGGTTTTTTTTTAATGAAAAGTGCCAAGTGTAAAATATAAAGAGCAGGAAGGGTCAAAAGTTTGATTTTTTTTTAAACTGGATCTACATGATTTTCTTGAGCTGATGCCAGCAATGACTCTGAAAAACATTAGAACATTGAAACATTTTATGCCTCCTGAAGAAGAGGCATTTTAGGAGTGAAATATCAAGTCATTTGAGTTGTAAATTTTTTGTGGCGTACTGTTAACTGCTTGGAGGTTAGTTGTAGAAGCCTATCCATTCCCTCTTCCCCAAGCGTTAATTATTCAAACTACATTAGGTTATGTTAACAAGTAAAATAGTTTTTTACCTTGACCATAATAGGCACTTGACCCACTGCATAGTCCTGGGTGGGCTGTGGCCTCCCGTCTATGAACCAATCCACCAGCACATGTAGTGATCCTGTGTAGCTACTGCCTCGCTGCCTACACTCCGTCGGGTAGATTAAATGAGACCTCACCCCGGCCGTTCCAGCTGGGACTGCAGGAGGGAGAATGTACGCTGTCTAAACACAAACTACCTTTCAAATTCTTTGTTCAAAGTATGTGGTGGTACAGTAGAACTCCAACTATCCAAATAAATTGGGACCATAAATTACTTGGATTATAAGAAATTTGGATGGTTGGATTTTTACAAAAAATCTGAGAAAGATGCCAAATTTAACCTAAGTACTACTGTGATCACAGAACGCAGCTGTGAATATTTTGCGATCAAAAAATACGAGCTTTCGCCGCATTTGTGGATTATGATTTTCTGTTACTGCCCACGAAGATGATGTCTACATAACCGCGGAAGATGTACAAGATTTGACCGCAATCATGGAAGACAATGATGTTTCTGTGACAGCAGATGGTGTGCAAGATTTTGCCGCAATCTAGAAAAAGATTAGGTACCGGACATTGCTTTTGTGACAGCAGGAAATTATGATGATGTCTACAAGACCAAGAAAAAAGATTTTGCCGCGAATGTAGGCATTTTTATTCAGGAATTTTTATCTCTTGTAGGTCCAAGGATGTTGTTCCGTGCAGAGCTCATTTAAGCGGCAAAATCCAGTCTGACTGTTTGCCATAAGCATTTAGCTTCTAACTAATTATTATGTTTTTTAATAATTAACTTGAATAAAAATAGGTCAAGTAAAATTAAATCTTGAAAACACAAGTAGAAAATCCTAAGTCTTTAAACTTCTGGTTTAAGTTAGTAGTAAGGTGACTTAATATTATTCAGTCAGGCCTACTCTCTGTAGCCTCAAAAAACCATTATAAGCTCTAGTTTACCTTGATTAAGATTTTTACTTGCTTCTCCCCAATTTTAAACTGTGCTGGAGTCAAGTTGTCAATGGCCTGTTGAAGCCCCTGGGCCAGCATGTAGTTGAATGATGATACATGGGGCTCACCAAGGGATTGTAGGAACTGTAAAGTAAGTTTGACTTGATTAAAAATTAGGAATTCCTACGCGTGACCAATTATAGTGACGGATAAATTTACATTGATAAGAAACGTAACAGCAAGGCTAAAGTAATATTTGATATGCCAGTATAATATTGTCAGTAGTGAGCTACTGACAAAGGTAACTTAAAACCATTTATTAATATTTGAACCTTCTAAACTATTGCTCACAGCTATTTCGCCTCATTAGGTTCATTGTCCTAAGCAATATGCACTTCTTGAGTGAGTTTTCTCAAGCCATAAACAGAAACAAATGCATGGCTGTAAACTTTTAAGGGTAGGCCTACAGGGTTCTGCGCAGTACATTTACAGTAGATCTAACCTCGTTAATTCTTATTTCAGAGGAAAGACAATATACTTCGAATTATGATGTATACAATTATGAATCGAATTATGATGTATATATTATGATGTATGAGTTTTAAATTTAGAGAGTTTGATTTAGGTCTATAGAGGTCAGAATAAATCAAATTCTAAAGGAGGTCCCAGTTTTAAGTGTAGAGTGTTTGAGAGAACAGAGACTAATGGACTCATCGTAGGAACATCAATAAGAGCGTCAGTAGTTCATGTTTTAACAGGCATATATTTTTTCCTCAATTCAAATTACAGAGACTTACAGTAACACAGTTCGAATTGTAGAGGTTGACTTTGAATTTCGGAGTAAGCAGTTTAAATTACGGTGAACAAAATTTGAATTTTAGAGACTCCAGTACACGTGCAAATTAAAATTGTAGAGGCTGTATAAAGCGTAAAAATCACTTTGAATTATCGGTATTATTATTTTTCAAATTTTTAAGGTTTTCTGAGGGGAACAAACATTTTTAATTATAGAGGTTTTGGAATTAACGAGGTTCTACTGTATTTATTAATTTATTTCCCATTGGTTTACACCAGTTTACACACTGGATAGCCTGCAATATTAACAAGATGGCTAACTTTCCTGTTCAATATTGTATAAAAGTGGTAGGTATCAGAAAGAACATTACCTACAAAAAATAACAAGTAGGCCCCTAGGCCTAACGGTAATTAATAATTAGTACTTTATCAATACAAACAATGACAAGACAAGATGGTCATGTATTGGCAGACAGCAGTGAACAAAACAACGATACATTACAATATCGGATTAAATATCGATATAAATTGATTTTGATTTGATTCTAGGTCTATATTAAAATATTGCATAGTAGGTATTTCATTTTACTAACTTAAGTTAGTGATAATATAAGTTATAGGGCTAAGTTAAATAAAAACAATAACAAAACTTTAAAGATGTTGCTTTAATTGATCCTATTTCTCGTCTAAAAATGGCTTAAAGACGCCAAACATCTGACAATCTCACTAATCACTTATTTGAAAAGTATTTACCTTAATTACCTTAATTACCTCCTTCGTCACCAAGACCAGCGATTGCCGGATAGGTTGTGTCAATACTATTTACATATTACTAAAAACAAAACTTTTCTCTTTAGATAAACTTTTATGTCATGGCGGTGGATACACCCATACTTTCAAAAAAATCTTTCAGGCTATAATATGGCCTATCTTTTAGCCATGTCTTCAGGGCAGTGCCAAACTTAGGAGCTTCCAGCCTATTTAACTCTACTGTAACTTAGTGAAGTAACTTTAAGGTATAAAGTCCACATCCCTCTCTCCATTTATTAAAGACAATTAGCCTACCATTTAAGTTAATATTCCCTGAATGTAGGTTTTTTTAGTAGGTACCGTATGTTTCCAAGTTGTGTAATTTGTCTATAGGCCTAATATAGGCCTATTGCTGTTTTAGTTAACTTATTGCTTGTTTTGCCAACGTTCATAAAATACAGTTTATTTTGTTTTGGTATAAGTTAGGCCCTACGGTATTGTTTAGTTGGAAGCCTAGTTTAATTGATTAATCTTCAATAAAAATGTAACAGATCATACACATCATCAATTAAGTTATGTATTTAAAAAATCTAAGTTAGTGCAAACCCTAAAATGCACGTTAACTCTTACACATTTAATCCAAAATTTTTTTGCAGGTTCTTTGAGTAACTGTTGTAGACCTGCCCCATAAAGGAAATCAATTTTATATTATTCTTGGTGTGTAATGACATATGTTATTGACGGTTAACCCTTTACTCTCTTTATGTATTTCATCTGCTCTGTTTTGTTCAGAAATCTCTAGAGACCTTTTCAGTATTAAGTTAGTGCCGATTTTCACTCTTACAATACTAGGCATAAAGATTGTTTACGAGTTCAACAATACAAGTAACTTATAGTAGTTCTCAAAAAATTGGTTTTATTGTTCTATTAAATTGTACAATTCATTGCCAATAGTGTTGAAATCACTGCCACATTCTAAGTTTAAAGACAAAATAAAAAATGTAGGCCTACTCATTGATATGTCTTTATAAAGTTGATGATTTGTTCAATATATGTTGGGAACGTTACTGTTAGTTTTTAGTGTTGGAACATAGATTTTTATAGGCTAGTAATATTTTTCTAGTGATTTTTACATTTTTTACAGATGCTTGTTACTACTGTGTATGCTTTTACCATATTTTGTTACCCCTACATAGATTTTTAATAATGTGTTTCTAATAATTTTTTACATTTTGTACAGATGCTTATTACTATGGTGTAAGTTTATGCTTTTACCATAATATTTATTTTGTCTACATAGTAATATTTTTCTACTCATTTTTACCTTTTTTACAGATGCTTGTAGGCTATGCTTTTACCACATTTAACTTACTTTGTTGCATTATGATATTTTTTGTATCATTGAACGTAGCCTACTTTATCTAGGCCTAGATATAATTTATGTACTGTATTATAATATTGACGCTTGTCCATGCACTGTTTTGTGTTTATGACAATAAAAATCTTGGGTACACTTCCGTATCTGTTGGCACAAACAACCAAATGACAATATCGATTGATATATCGATTATTCGATATAGCCTATCGTTTGGTTGGTTAGGTAAGGTTAACCTAACTTAACTAACCAAACGATATATCGAACTAAACAATCGAATAATCAATATTACTCATTCGGTTGTTTGTGCCAACAGATATGGAAGTATAGGTAACCAAAATCTTGAATCTTTGAAGTGAGGGCGACGAGCAATTAACCCAAAGTAGGGGCCTAGGCCTATATGACTTTTATTTATGACTTGAAAATCATAGCCTATCACAGTGTCCTGCCACGCTGGTGCTTTTAAGTTCTTCTACTAAGTTAAGTGAAGGTAAACTTAATACATACTAACTAGTTTTATTGTGAGAAAAGCGATATCTTACTAAAATAAACAAATGAGGGCTAGGTTTACCTCATTTTGATTTGGTGAGGGTTTTCCATACGTAGTGGAGGTTAAATTTTTCAAAGAAGGTTTTTCAATCATGGTTAAAATATCACATTACAAATTGTATAAATATGAAGATACGTTATAATTTAAATTTGTAGCAATTAAGTTAGTTGACTTAACACTTCAGAATAAAGTCACATGTAGCATGACTTTATAGGGAAACATAACCTACAACAACAAGAACCTGAACAACACATCAATGAAAAATGAACAAAACAAACAGTAGTTAGTTCACAGTCCGAGTCCGTTCATTCCTATCCACTGAAAAAAAAGGCAGAGAGAGGCTATTCGCACGTCAGACGTGCGCCGCTACCGGCGCTACCACGCACGTCTGTTCCAAAAGCTATGTTGGCTCGTTGGCTGAAACAAGCGTCTACAGCCTGACTGATCACTTATTGCAAACGAAAAAAACTGGCCAGTAGCCACTGAAGAAGAAGAAACAATTTTTGTCTGCTTGATTTTATGACGTGACGTATCGTTCTGGCTGTCGGCTGTGTTTTGTTTGGTTTAGCTGTTTGTTTGTTTCCATTACATCAAAAGTGTAGTATTTTGATTTTGTCTATTTCATTGCAATTATTCATTTTGTTTCCATCTCCATGTAATGATTAAAAAGAAGTTCTTTTTCTTGTGATATTTATTTATGATCGCTGGACATGTAGAAGTTGTGATATTTACGTTTTGTTATCCTATTGTGTAGTCTTTTGTAAAATATTAATCTTGTGGGTAGTGTTATACATTTTTACTGCATAGATTAAAATCCATTTCTGTGAATAAATAGCATGTTTACTAAACTTTATAAAAATGTACTTTTATCCTTTTGTAATTTTGCCCCTTTAATGTTTTTTAGTGTATGCCTATGCCTACTCAATTTTTACATTTTATTCTTAATGATAATTAAAAATAAGACATTTAGGCCTATGTCTATCATGGTTAACCTCCCGGCCAAGCCTATGAATTCTTGCTCCTTAGCATTCTTTTACACTCCATAGCAAAGATCTAAACATTTAAAATGGCCTTTGAGTCTTTCACCATAGGCAATGCTAAGTATTTAACTTACATGAATGCAGGCTACATAAGTTACAATGAAAGTGCAATGGGGTACACTTCCATATCTGTTGGCACAAACAACCGAATGAGTAATTTTGATTATTCGATTGTTTAATTCGATATATCGTTTGGTTAGTGAGGTTAGGTTAACCTTACCTAACTAACCAAAAGATATATCGAATAATCGATATAGCCTATCGATCGTTATTTTCATTCGGTTGTTTGTGCCAACAGATATGGAAGTGTACCCCCGAATGAAAATATCGATTATTCGATTGTTTCATTCGATATATCGTTTGGTTAACTTAGTTAGTTTAGGTTAACCTTACCTAACTAACCAAACGATATATCAAATAATGGATATAGGGTATCGATCGATATTTTTATTCGGTTGTTTGTGCCAACAGATACGCGATTTTTTTTCTATCCGATATATTGATTATAACAAATTGAAGGCTGCACTTTGCTTTAGGTCCTACACTCATTCGAATGAAAATATCGATCGATATATTGATTAATCGATTTTTTCATTCGATATATCGAATGAAACAATAGAATAATTGATATTTTCATTCGAATGACTGTAGGACCTAAAGTAAAGTGCAGCCCAAAAAATATTGTAATTTATTTATTTATTTATTTATTCGTACATACGGCAATCGCCACTTTACAAAATATGTTTAATTAAGTATACAGAATATTATGATACATTTTTCTTTCAAAGCCGCTTAAGTTACATGTAATAATAACTACTAGATTCAATAATTTAAGTTGATTCAGTTGCAAGTACAATTAATATGACACACAAATAACACAAAAATAGAGCATCAAAGACAAAATAGAACAAAGTAAATTTAAGCGCAGTAATAATATAGTTCATGCTACATGCTATAAAAATCATTAAATACTACATGCCAAAGTGCATTTTACTGTAATGAAATAAAACTCTTTTAAACTAACCTAACAAACCAAACTTGCTGTAACATTTCAACTTTCCGTTAGCCCCGTTTGATAGCCTATTCCCCATATGCATTTTCTGTTATCAAACGGAATTTTGAAATGCTAACTTAGCCTACAGCAAGTTTGGTTAGTATGGGCTATTATTTTTGCCTAAACAAGGTTAGTTCTTAATTTGTAATTTAAATGCGTTTGAAGATATTAAAACAGAAGGAATACGGATCGTAAAGTAAAACAAAAATATCGATAAATCGAAAAGAAATCATCGATAATAATTAATGTTCCCTTTAACAGGAAAGTACCCGAACAAACTTTGTGGTCTGGTGAAGACCCAGTGTTATACAATTTGCCCACTCCTGTTAAAAATCTGACCTTTGCCAAGTTAGAGCAGTATTTGGTGGAAGGAAATTTGTCTTTGGAAAAGTTGTTCCTGTATCCTTGGATTCAAATGTAATGAAGGATATACTTGTAAACTGTTTGTTATGACCTAATCACTCTAATAGTGGCCGTGGCCGCCATACACAAAAATTGCAGTTGGAATGAATTTCTAAATTTTTATCTTCTTTTTTGACACTGTTCTCTGTATACCAGAGGCATTTTGTAGGAGAGCTACCTAATCACAAAAACATTCAAGGTAAAGCGGTCCAAGCCCATCAAATGTTGTGGATGATGTGTCAGAAATCGAACCTATCATTCTTGCTCTGAAGTCGAAGACACTAACCACTAAGTAGGCTAGCAACACACCACCTTGTATTTCCTTTCAAAAATAAAAAAGGTTAAATTTAAATACTTGAAATGTAAGTATGGAAGTATAAACAATAAAATAATAATAATAACAACAATAATTACAAACCCCAATTCCAGTCAAGTGAATACAAGAGGCAATGTTTTCCAATCTACTTCAAAAATTTGTAATTTCATTCAAGGGTACAGTTTCTTAACTGGGCTACGCAAACATTGATTGAAACTATCGAATTGAAAATATTGATTAATAATCAATATTTTAAAATATATCTATTATAAAATTAAACTATCATAACCTAACCTAACCAACCAAACTTGCTGATGGTGAAAAAATCGCATGAAAGGTTTACTAATCGAGTCGATAGTTTCAATCAATATTAGCGTAGCCCAGTTAAGAAACTGTACCCAAATTCGATTCAACACATTAGGACTAGTGTTATAGATTTGCCATTGGTTTCATCTAATCAGAATTAAATTTGGTTTGTTAACATAAAATTATACTATCCAGGTAGGTTTAAACTAGGTTAGTCCTCTAACCCTCATATCCGAGAAAGTATGAACTGTCTTGTTTGTTTAGAACCTAACTTACTAATTTGGAAATCGAAGTAACAAATGGTGTAGCAATAATTTAAAAAACAATAAGATAAATGATAACGTCAACATTAAAAATAGCTTATATTTATATACCTTAGTAGGATTCAAGGTGAAATAATATACTACAAAATATTAGTTGGTTTTGAGGGTTGAGGTTATGTTTTATATCTGGGAGTCTGTTTGTTGACTTTGTTTATGCTGCTAAGTAACAGACGACAGACCGCAGTCATCAACAAGATGGTTCTTCTTCTTCAGTGGCTACTGGCCAGTTTTTTTCGTTTGCAATAAGTGATCAGTCAGGCTGTAGACGCTTGTTTGGCTGAACAACGTTGGCTGAACACTTTTTTGTAGTTTTGGAATGTAAATCTCGTCAAAATATTCGAGTATAGCACCACACCATGGGCCCTATTTTTGAAATGGTTGACAGTTGAGTCAATCGTCAGCACTCAACTCAACCAACAACATGATTTGGTATTTTTGAAACCCAACAGTTGGGAAGCGAGTTGGGAATCACTAGTTGAGAGACTCGTGGTGGAAATGTAGAGCATACGACCGTCAAAAATTCAGATGACGTCATTTTGAACCAATCACAATGCAGAGTTCTTGCGGACTTCGATTTAACCTCTTCTTACTCTAAAATCTGGCAGCTAATCTCAATTTCTCAATCTGCCATATTTCGAGACACTGAGGTAAACTGTCAACTCCGTTCTTGAGAGATTGAGATTGAGGTTATGTCTTGCTTAATCTTAGTGATTGCAAAGTACCTTAACTTAGGTCATAAACTAAAGTAAACTAAATAAAGTAATAAACTTAAGTATAAAAATAAAATTTACTATGGATGTTTGTTTTAGGGTGTAGCTAATTATAAGTTTAGGCATAGGCTGCACTTTACTTTAGGTCCTACACTCATCCTAAATACATTATTATTTGCTTTCTTCCTCTCTATTTCGGAACACATCACCTTATTTTAGTTTCCTTCATCGGTTTGTTTTATGTTATTTTTAATTGTTTTTTATTTAGGTTAAAGCTGCTATTTGCCATCGCACTGAAAGCATATCGTAACTTAAATTAATTTGATCCCTTTATTAGGTGAATGGTATTGAAACAAACTATGATATTGTTTCTCTCTACCACAATCTTTAATACCTTAAATCATAGGTCTAATAACAATAATTATCTTATAATAAGTTCAATTAGTATGCCTAGTCTATTTCAAACATTCCAACAAGAATAAAACCCTTGATTAAATAGTCTAGTATTGACACAGTAAATAAAATTAAAATGCGATTATTCTACAGAAAACAATCGCATAATTGGGTGCTAAATGCTAATACATTGACAACAAATACATAACCTCTAAATCGCAATTAGTAAATTAAAGCAATAACAAAACAATATGGCGTCGTCTCAAAAAGAGTAATTTTTTGCCGAAAGAGAGGAAGAAGAAAGTGCAGTCAACCTCCACTCAACAGCTCGATAGGTGTTGAGTAGTTTTGGTTGTATAAGTCCACCGTCAACCGTTTCAAAAATACGAAACGATTGGAAATAGAATGACTCGACACTCAACTCAACAGTCAACCATTTCAAAAATAGGGCCCCATGTTACGTTTCCTAATCCAGTTTCCCAATCGAATTCTTCTTGACGCTATGAAACGTTGGCTGAACACTTTTGTAGTTTTGGAATGTAAATCTCGTCAAAATATACGAGTATAAATCTTATGAGATGTCGAAGTTAAATATGTGCCAATGAAATTAATTATATCCATCCCAGTTAAAAACTTTACTGCATTAATCAGGTTTTGATGTTTCAAGGCGCCCCCACGTCAACCCG